ATCTATCTATCTATCTATCTATCTATCTATCTATCTATCTATCTATCATCTGTCTATGTCACTATCAATCATCTCTCTATCTCTGCCTCCTGCCTGTGGATCAGGATGTAAGCTCCCAGCTACTGCTTCAGTGCCATGCCCACCTTCCTGCTGCCATGTTCCCCACCATGGTGATCATGGACTCTAACCTTTTAGAACTTTGAGCCCCATGACTGTCAATCAGCTCTTTCTTTTATAAGTTGCCTTGATTATGGAGTCTTTTAACAACAATAGAAAAATAATTAATACAAAGGTTTTATGGCATCTGTATGACTTATTCAGGTTTATGCTACATGGGCACAAATTGTCTATTTCATAAATTAATTCTATTTATTAACATCTCCATTTTGTGTGCTGTATAAATACATATATATATATATATATATATATATATATATATATGGCATGTGTATGTATGTGTGTATGAAGTATGATTGTGTGTTGGCTGTGTAAAGTGTGAGGGTATATGGTGTTTATTGTGTGTATATACCATATGTGCATATGGTATGTGTTGTGTATATATGATGTGATATGTATGTGTGTATGGTGAGTGCGCCAGAACACAGACCCATGAGTGTACATGCAGAGGCCAAAGTGGATGTCTTCCTCTATTGCTATCCACTTTATGCCTTGAGACAGGGTCTTTCATAGAACCAAAAGCTTTCCTAGCTGGCTAGTGAGCTCTTGGGATATGCCTGTCTATGTTACAGAGTGTGTGGATTATAGCCATGTACAGCCTGCCCACATTGTTGTGCGGATAAAACTAAGACACTCGTGCTTTCAGAGCAAGCACAGTTGCCCACTGGGTCACCCACCCAGCCCTTCTCTCTCATTTTGATGCCTTTTACTGCACGTATGTGAGTCTTCCCTGTATGTCAGTAATTTATCTCTAACAGATGTATTCCATATCTTTCAAGATGCTTCTGTTTGTTTTGCCGTTGATTTATTTCCTGAGCATACACTGTGCCTGGCATTCTTTTTTTTTTGGTTTCATTTTAAAATGAACAGTAGTTATTGAATTTATATTTTGTCAAAGTGGATCAGTTGTAAGAAAGTTTCTTTTGGTTAAGCCCTATTCCCTTTGAGAATATATTTTATTTTTGCTTTGAATGCGATTTAAAAAAAATTATTCTCTTCCTCCTTTCACCCTTCTTCCCACACCCTCTTTATGCTCTTGCCCCAAGGGTGCGGTTGCTGCAGCGTTTCATAATCAAGGGCCTATCTGAGCTTCCACCTCATCTGAGGGCCACATGCCCCCCTCCCCTCGCTGTATTTTGAGGGCAGAGATCTGTTGACTTTTGTGATGTGAGAGACTGGACAGAAGAGAAGAGCTTCGCTGGCTCTGTGCAGCCCCTGTGGGGAGTTCCCAGCTGCTCTGCCCCTCTGTGGCAAGGGTTAAAGCTTTACCAGGTTCCTTCTTATTCAGCTCTCCCCACCATTGCTCTGAGCCATTTCACTACTCACAAACCAGAGCTACACAGAGCCTTGATAGCTGATGAGCTTGAGAAATGTTAAACTTTATCACTCCTATTGTTTTTAACGGAGAATTTTATTTGAGGCTTGATAAAAAGAACCTAGAC